CCCTCTTCCTCCCACCTTCTCTCTCTCTTTACTTCCTCTCCTCGACTGCATAAACAACAAAAAATACACAAAAAAAACTTCGCCAAGTGTTGCATTAAGACCGTAATAACCGACTTTAATATCCGTGTTGTGGTATTAGTTATCTCATCAACAAGGCTATAGCGTTAATATCGGCTGAACTGTAGAATATCTTATAACCAGTAACAAAATTATATATACAGCGAGATTAAATCCGCGGACGACCTTCACAGGGTAAACTCACGTAGGTTCTACGTCTGTGCTTTATTGGACTTTCTGTACGCTGGTCTCTCTCTCCGGGTCTTTTTTCTTCTTCTCATTCCTTATACCTTCCTTTTCTTTGTTTTTGTTTTTATTCCATTTTTTTCTCCTCTTCTCCAATCCTTTTTTCCCTTCCTTCCATCCTATTTTTTTTCTCTTGTATCCCTTCCTCCTTTCTTCCCTCTATCCCATTTTTCTTCTATCTTCCTCCTTTTCCTCCTCTTCTCCTTCCTTCCTTTCCTTCCTACTTTTCCTCTCTCCTTTCTTCTCTTCTTCCCCCTTCCTCCTTTCCTTCCCTCCCTTTCTTCCAGTACCCAAGCTGGTGCAGGAGTCGGGCGGCAGACGTAATATTACGGCCGGCGACGGAGGGGGCCGGGCGAGCGGTGCGCGGGTCCGCCCTGATGGCCATAAGCCCTTATAAAAGGCGGGATTAATCGCCCGCGCCTCGGGGTCCGGCGCGGGGCTGTTCGCCGAAACAACGTGGTTTGAGTTAGTGTGGTCGTTTAGGCCGGATTATTACGTATCTGGCACTGGAGCGTTTCCTGCGTGTGATTGTCTGGATCCCCGGGAGCTGAGATATTAAGGCTTTAATTACCGGTATTAATTGGAAGCCGGGGGGGAGAAACTCCTCAAAGGGGGAGTCCTCAGGGAAGGAGTCCTCAAAGAGGCTCCCTTCCGCCTCCTACTTAAGCGGGCGTGTCGGGACGCGACGCTCCGCCTCTCGTGACGAGCCTCCTCGTCATCCCGCTGATTACAGCCGGTCTTTTGCGCCGAAACGAAGGTTAGGGCCCGTTATCTCTGGCAGCCAAGCACCGTTTCAAGTGCTAGCTTTTACGCCGTCGAAAGTAGCTCTCTCTTTCTCTCTCTCTATCTGTCTGTCTGTCTTTATATCTGTTTGTCTCTATGTAACTCTCTTCCTCTCTGTTTCTTTCTTTATTACTCTCTTTACTCTCTTTCTCTCTCTCTCTCTCTCTCTCTCTCTCTCTCTATATATATATATATATATATATATATATATATATATATATATATATATATATATATATATATATGTATCTCTCTATCCATTTCTATCTCTATTTATTTATCTCTATATCTATCTATCTATCTCTATATCTATCTATCTTTTTCGATCTGGCTCTCTCTGTCTGCTAAAGTAACTATCTGATCCATTTTGTTAAGTAAGGGTATCTTCTTGAACACCTGCCTACTGAAACTTTAAGCACTACTTGAAGAGCATTGTTTTCCGTCACTGCATGGTAACGTTCTCTTTAAACTAGTGTTTTAACGTTTACATCAAACCGTCTACTTAATAACACCGGTCCCCCTTTAACAGTACATTAGCACGAGTACCAAAAAGATGAGGCGTTATTAACAGGGCTCTGAATGCTCCAGATAACCACTCATAATCTCATTATTTCCCATTCAGATATAATAGATTTCGCTGACGCCATTCCTCTTCTTCCTAATTGTCTTTCCTTGGTGGAAGGTCGTGGGGAGAGAGACTAGAAAAGGCTACATGAGCAGACCGGGAGTAAGATATAGAGATACATAGATTGTCTTGTATGTAGATGCGAAAACAGGTCAATATGAATATACAATGTATAGGAAAAATAGAGTTTATGGAAGAACGTTATTGCACACAAGTATGTCATGTCTCTCTCTCTCTGTTGCTAACTCTCATTCTTGCTAACTCTCTCTCTCTCTCTCTCTCTCTCTCTCTCTCTCTCTCTCTCTCTCTCTCTCTCTCTCTCTCTCTCTCTCTCTCTCTCTCTCTCTCCACTCCCCCTTCATAATCATCAAAAAGCATTGAACCCTAAATAACGTCTACATAAATGATCTTCGTTTCCAAGCAAAATCTATGCACTGTCTAAGAAAGAGGAAAGGGAGGAGAAAAAGATGAGGAAGACCTGGTAGGAAGAAAGAGAGGATAAGGAGAGAAGCAAGACCTGGAGAGAAGAAAAGGAGAAGAGAAGGAAGGCCTGGAGAGAAGAAAAGAAAAGGAAGAGAAGGAAGACCTGGAGAGAAATAAGGGAGGAGAAGGAGAGAAGCAAGACCTGGAGAGAAGAAAAGGAGAAGAGAAGGAAGGCCTGGAGAGAAGAAAAGAAAAGGAAGAGAATGAAGACCTGGAGAGAAATAAGGGAGGAGAAGGAGAGAAGGAAGACCTGGGGTGAAGAAAGAGAGTAGACGAAGAAGAGAAGGAAGACCTGGAGAGAAATAA